TTTTTTCCTGTAAGTACAGAGGGGGAGCACAGTTGTTTTGTGGTCTGCGGATGGTAATTGCAGCCTCCCAAGTCTGTCGTGTAGCGGCTCCTCCCTTCCTGCCTTCTCTCCTTTTGTTTCTGGTTGGCAGGACTCTGGCGAGCGTGTTTGAAACGCTATTTTCAGGATAATTTGCACCCTAGGGTTTCCAGGGGACGTTTCCGTTCCTTGCGTTGGGTCTGTGCAGACAGCCTAGCTGGTGCTGAGTCCCTGTCTGTCCTCGTGGCACCGATTTCTCTGTAACAGTGGCACTGTTGATTGCACTGTCCTTCTCTTTGAGACTCTGTCCTCACTTCTCTCCCGGTTACTTTTCCTACTTCTCTCGCTGTCCTTCCTCTGTCCCCTCTTGGATTCTACTTTCTCTTTCTGCTTATTAAACAACCGTGTCCCCAGGGGCCTGGTGGCACCCTCCTCTGTTGCATCCCTGTGTCTCTTCTGGGTGACCCATCCCAGTCCCTGCTCCCACCTACTTTCTCTTTCTGCTTATTAAACAACCGTGTCCCCAGGGGCCTGGTGGCGCCCTCCTCTGTTGCATCCCTGTGTCTCTTCTGGGTGACCCATCCCAGTCCCTGCTCCCACCTGCACACCTGCGACCCTCGTCTCCAGTGCCACCTTCCTCCAGAGCACCAGGCTGAGGCCCCACTGCCCACCTGGCTGTTCTGGGAGCTTCTCTCATGCAAGGTGTCCAGCCCTGTCCTCCTTATTGGGCGGGTGGCGTGCCGGAGGACAGACAGCGTGGCTGTCCACGGAGACCCGTGGGGGCCTTGGAGTCCTCTCAGCCCCTCGTGCCCAAACGGCATCTGTCTAACCCTGTGTTGCTGGGCTGTCTGCTTGGAGGGGTCTCATCGAAAGTGTCATCTGTGCCACCTCCCAGCTGGCCGGCTCGGTGCAGTCCCCGAGGCCCAGGAGAGCCTGAGCACCTGCCAGGCCCAGGAGCACTGCCGAGCCATTGTCCCTTCCACCCATCCCCGCTGCTGGGTCCCCCTGACTGTCCTCTTCCCCAGATGGCCTCTCTGCCCCCCTCTGATCTTCCTGTCCTTCACGTGGGTAGCTAGAGGCCTCATTCCTCAAATGCAAATAGGACTGTGTCATTTTTCAGCTTAAAATGACCAGTCCATGTCATTGTGAACTACTTTCAATTCCTGCCTCTCTCTTCCCTGCACGCCTTTGAACAAGCCCTCTCCTACTCCTTTAATTCCCTGTCCTCTGAACAGACATTACTGTCAGGCTTCCCTGGGAGACCTGGACACACCTGGGATGGAGGGGACAGAGGAGGGAGGGACTCGGCGAAGGTGGCTGCTGGTCCTTCCTCCCGACGGCTCCTCCTTCCGTCCTCCCAGGTCCAGGGAAGGGACAGGCGGGGGCGGACACGTCACTCAGAGTGTCTGAGCAGTGAGCAGATGTGGCTTCTCCTGATAAGGCAGAAGGTCGGCATCCGCCCTCGTCCCCAAAAGACTCTGGTGCCAGGTTTAGAGAGATGATGCCCCCGGATGGGACATGAAAGCCCAGGTTGGACGTGGGCTGTCTGCTCCTCAAAATGCGTCATAGTAAACGACCCAGCTCTGTGGAGTCGGGGTCATCGCGGGAGGCAGAAGTGACGTGACTTGGGAGGCTTCTCATGGCAGGTGCCCATGCAGCCCCGCGCTGCTGTGAAGAGGAGTCACAGCCTATGTCGAGGTGACAGCCTGTTACTTGGGCCTGAGCAGCTGAGCCCGCAGGCGTGAGCAGCCTGCACTCGATGGCAGGTTTAGGCTGGAAGGAAACAGGCTCACGATGGGTTGTCACAATGCAGGATAGATTTTATGAAAAATAAAGGGTTTATAAAGAAATAATGAATGGGAAAAAATCCTAAAAGTTGATTGAGGGAAATAGGTGTTTTTTGGTTTCTTAATGTCTGCTGTTTGGCTCAGGTCGGGCACCACGTTGGGCCGTGTAGACCGTGCGCCCGATTCCCGCAGCCGTCCCTGTCGCGAGTGCTGGGGAAGCCGCCTTGACGCGGGGCCCCCCCTCCAGCTCCTCTGCTGGGGGCTAGCTGTGCACCTGGGGGCCACAGGAGGGTTTCAGTGGCCACGGGACATCCAAAAGAGATGAGTCCTGGGACTCGAGTCAAGTAGCCTGAAAACCAGCCTTGCACAGTGGCCGCAGACCCGAGTCGTCCGCGCATTGAGCCGTTAAGACGACTGCACCTGTCTCGGGGTCTCGCACGGTGATTTCTGGCTTTTGATGTTTCATTGAGTTGCTGAATCTCAGATGAGTGGCAGGAGCAGCTTCTGGATAGGCTTGGCCTGATCTTGGTATATTTGTTGTTGGTTTTACAATGGGATAAAGGGTTTGGAGGTTGTTCTGCTGACTTATTTCTGTATTTCTGCTTTGAGTGGAGCTTGTCAGTGGAGCCCTAAGTGGAAATGTTGCTGACTTTAGGAAGCCCTGTGGCTTTTCAGTCCGCATCTGTAAAGTGCTCGTATGTCAATCTGACAATAAAGTATTTTGATCTTGTTTTATCTCTTTTTTCGAAAGCTCTGCCAGTGAAAGACGTGGAAGAGGAACCTGAACAAGTCAGGACAGCAGAGCCCGACAGGTCCCCCGCCATCGTCCAGCCTCGACAACAGCCAAGTGCCTTATTTTCTAGAGGAACCAAGAAAGCAGTCAGAAGTCCCCAGAGGTCAAGTAGAATAAAAGAAAACAAGCATCCGTTTGCACTTTATGGCTGGGGAGAAAAACAGACGGACACAGGAAGCCAGAAAACGCACAACGTCTGTGCGTCTGCCCCCGAGCATGAGGTGCGCTGCCCCGACCTGTCCTTCCCTGGATGGTGGCTCACAGGTCACATCCTGCGGCCCCTGGGATGCTCTGAGCACTGGGAGAGCTTCGGGGATGGTGTGGTTTCCAGGGCAGCCCGGAACTGTGCTCCAATGAACCGACAGGAGGGTTCTGGCTGCCTGGACAGCAGGTGCTCTGGCTGGGAGTTGGCTACTACCTGGCAGGGTCCCCTGACACCCAGCCAGGCGAGAGGGGATGGAGTCAGGGCTCTCGAGTTCCCAGGGGCTGCGGGTGCAGAGGTGGAGCCCCACCAGGGCTGGCGACTGCCCATCCGGGATTGCCGTAGGCACAGGCGTCGGGTTCCTGCTGCTCTGGTGACAGGGCGCTCGGTTGTCCCTCTGCCGTTGGGTTGTCTGGTTGCTTGGCATCTTCTGTAGACTCCCTTTTGCGCTTCTGATTCAGTTCTGAGATCTGCGTTTTCCCGTTTGTTCACAACCGATGCATCTTACCCCCAGGAACTCGTGTTCCTTGACTTGGTCCTGGCTTGTCACCCTGTGTGAAGTCCTGGAAATGACATTTCAGACGAGAGGATCTTCGTGTGTGGAGTCACAAAACATTATATATGTTAGCATTACATACTACAACCTAATTAAAAGAAGCTGAAAGAAACTGCATACTGTTTGGATTCCGGTTAAATACCGTAATCAAAATGCTACTGAACAGACTTTCGAGCCCGAGCAGATGGTGTTCTGTGCAGTGACATTTGAGACACAAAGCTCTCGTTTAACAAAAGATCTCTGACAAGCCCATGGGATTAATTTTAGCAGGATTTATCCTGTTAAAGGATAAAGGGGGGTAAAATCCCTTGTCGTTTGTTTGGTATGCTGGAAAACATTTAAAGTTCTTAGCGAAACACTCACCCATACTTAATGCCAAGCAGTTCCAGCGATGTTTCAGAGCAAGTTTGAAAGGCACATGTGTATCAGTCGCTTACCTTGTCTATGGAAAATTTAATTTTCTGTTGCTTAGTTTTGTCATAAACTGGAGCAGCCAGTGGCATGGCTTTTCTGCAAAGCTCTTATATGCAGAACTGTGTGCAGAGGGCCTGACTCTGCCTGCGTGGGTGGCCTGGAGGTGGCGGAGTCAGTACAGCAGCCACTGACGGTGTTAACGCTTTCATGTCTGAACTCTCCGCAGATTCACGAGTCGGCGTTACGGGCCAAGAACAGGCGACAGGTGGAGAAGAGGAAGCTGTTTGCACAGAGGCAGCGGGCTCACTCCGTGGACATGGAGAGGAACAGGAGGCTCGTGTCCTCCTCTGCGGAGAGCCCGTGGGTGACAGAGTACATGAGGTGCTACTCAGCCAGGGCTTGAGGTGGCAGCTGCTCGGACAGCCTCTGTGACAAAGTGTAAATGACAGAAAGGAGAAACGAAACAAAAACCGTCAAAAGGAACGATACAGGTTTAAGAAACCGACTGATGATGCAAGTGTTTTTTAGGGAATTTCTGAAAGCTTGTTTTATTTTCATGAATAGTTGTCACCTACCTCAGTCGTAGGGCAGACAGTTGAAGCCATAGACATTTGGTTATTTTGAAGATAATTCCCTAAATCTTTGATATTCTTGTAAGTGTTTTGTTTTAAAGCATCTTAATCTTTTAAGAGACCGACACCAGATGCCTTGCAGCGGCTGAGATGCTTAGCACTCATCTTTCTTTCCATAGGTTTAGATGACGTCCGTTGTCATCCTGTTAGCTTTTCAGACTCCATAGCTAGAAGATCGCTCCAGTTTGCAACATACCACGCCTTTTCCCCGTGTGCAGTTTTCTTTGTGAAAGAATATTGTCAAAAGGAGTTTCAGATGACGTCCGTTGTCATCCTGTTAGCTTTTCAGACTCCATAGCTAGGAAGATTGCTCCAGTTTGCAACGTACCACGCCTTTTCCCCGTGTGCAGTTTTCTTTGTGAAAGAATATTGTCAAAAGGAGTTTCAACACGACTGTTGTTCCCATGTACGATGAAACTAGAACTTTGGTCATTCTGGAAAAATTAAACGTAACTTATTTGTATTTCAGTTCAGCATCACTTTCATGCAGATTGTGATATTTAAGAATTTTCTGGGCTGGGCGAGGGTCCCTTTTTCTCTTTCAATGATCATCTAAGCACTTAGTTCAAATACATTCCAATAAATAAGTGCCAATGCAGTGCGTGTTTGGAGTAGTAATGAAGTGTCTTTGGAGAGATGCTCACATTTTTTTTATTGCAAGATTTTCTTTTCAGCATCCGGTGTAGAACCAGTCACTTGTTACAGTCTGGCCTTTTAAAGTTCAGCCACTGTGGACTTTTGCCTCTTCTATAACAGCTGGCAAAGACATGTTATAACTTACAATCTGAAATTTTCTTTAATAAGTAAGGATTGTTCAGCCCATTGGGGACGGGGGACCACTGTTAAGATACTACCTGTTCTCTCTGCAGAACTTCACAGTAGCAAGGTCTCAGTGACATACAGCACTGAAGCTTCAGGTGGAAATGCGTTGTGCTTTGATTCCCTGCCAGTAGATCTTGTCTGCACTTTGATGTGACAGAGTGGTGTGTGTGGACAGACACAAACGTGTCATTTACTTGAACAGTGCTCCTCTTTAGTACGTTTGCTTTTGGGGTAGAAAAATGGTTTGAAACAGCCCACGTTTCCATCCGATGAGTGATGTCTCCTCCGTCCTGCAGAGACAGGGACCTGTGACACAGACGAGTGCCAGACGCTTTACAAGAGATAAGAAAGGCACTTTGCCTGCGCTAACTCAGCACAGAAGACGTGCGAGCGAAAACGTGGCCTTAGATGTGAGGCCGAGCGTTTCCTGATGTTTTTAGTCTGGGTCTTTGGAGTACAGTAATCAATTTTTAGAATAAAGATTGGTGTCATTCCACATAAGATCTTCAGATGGTGTCATAGTTGTATTAAGCTTTGAGAACCCACATTGGACAATCGTGAGCTTTTTAAAACAACTTTAAATATGAGCATAGTTTTGAG